ACGAGCGTTTTAAGATTTTTGCAATGTCAGAGGGATAAACCATGTGCTCAACTCCACTCGACATCCACAAGCTAACGGCCTGGTTGAGCGAGTGAACCGTACACTTCTACCAGTCATTACTACATCGATGGTCGATACCGAGCAGCGAAATTTGGATGAAAAGCTCAGTGAGGCAGAGTGCAGCTTGAACAAGGCTGTAAACAAGACGACCAGGAAGACTCCCTTCGAGATGTTACACGGTTATCGACCGAAATTTCACAGTGTGGCACTGAAGCACTTGGTTGAATCTAAAGCCTCAGTGTGGGAGGAGCCTGGCGGGCTGCGCGAACGTGTACGGCAGCGCCTCATGAGCGAGCAGAAGAAGATGAAGGTCCCTTATGACAAGCCCCACTTCCCGGCTAAATTGTACAGTGTCGGTGACGTGGTCTTTATGGTGAGGGCTCCAGAACAGACGGGAAAGCCTGCCAAAGCGCAGCCAAAATATAGGGGCCCCCTTGTAATCACGGCAGTGTTGCCAGCTGACACGTATCGAGTTGCTGACCTTGAAGAAACAAGAGTCTGCGGAGGAGTCGGACGCCCCCGAATGTAAGGTGCAGCGACTGAGACGTTCGGCCTGCAGCTGCGGCAAGACCCATCCCTATGCGAGTGTGCCATAGTTGCGTTGGGGTCTTGTTGAGAACTTCAATGCGTGCAGAGATTTACCAAGTGAACTGTGCAAACTTAAACAGTTGCTCTTTTTTTTTTTTTTTCTTGTCTTCTTTGACGAAGGAAACAATTCTGTTTGTGTATTGGAGTGTGGGTTCGTTTATGATTTTTTCCCCCTTAACGAGGACGTTAATGACTGTCAGGAAGACCGAGTGTACGCGACTGCTTCAAATCTTCTAAGTTTTGTTTTATTTCCTTCTTTTTGCGTGTGTTGTCGTGCGAATGTCCATTGGTCACTTGAAGGGGCCGTCCTTCTTGTTTATGGGCAGCTGCGATCGGCGAGCCTCCCAGTGCTGCGAGCGCCGGGTTAGCACAAAGGCGGCGGCCCCGCTTTATTGCACCTTGCCAGTTCAGATGCAAGAAGAGAGAAACATGCCGCTTTGCGCATCCGTGGCTTGCGGGACGTTCGACACTGCTTCCCCGAATGGCGACGCAACGGACCCCCCCACTGACTTCGTGGAACAATTTGTGAACATGTGTGTGTGTGTGTGTGTGTGGTGCGTGCGTGTTTGTGTCAGTGTGCGCGTATGTGTACTTGGATCCGTAGTCGAGAGAGGAGAGCGAAATAGCACGGGAAGAGCCAGAGACGCAGCGAGAACGGCGAGCGAAGAAGAGTCTGCGAATTGCGAGCGACTTGAGCGGTTGTGCGTTGTGCGATGTGCGGTATTGAGCAGTTGCGCGAGTAATATTGTAACCTAGTTTCCTTAATTAAACACAGGCTTCTTCTGTTAACATTTTTTTAACAGTGCGTGAGCCGTGTGTTGTGTCATCTATCATATTTCAGCTTTTTACGGCCATATCTGCGACACCCTAAATTTTACCAAAAGCGGGATAGAGGATGCTAACGCATTCAACATCCCCTAAATCGTGGAGTGTGAACATGAGCATTACTATTTCAATGGCAGTATTTTGTACCACCCCGCTGAGAAACAATGATAAAGTCCATATTAACATTTGCTGCACCCATCAAATCATTTCACAGACACTGCAAATATAAATACCAATCTGCAAGCTCGCGGCCTTGAAATTTGGGAGATTCATAAAACTGATGAATAGGGGTGGCAAAAAAAAAACAACTTGCACACAATTTAGATAGTTTTTTTGGGGAAGCAGTAATGCAATACACTGCTTCCAATGATTGCCATTAGCTTATTTAGATGTCAGTGATTATACTGGTACTCAGAATTGTGCAGCATGCAAACGCATGAGAAACTGAGCAAAACGTGCAGTAGCACTAACAGCCCCTTCTAAATGTCGATACCCTTGTCCCCGGGGCACTGATGCACTGCGGCAATTGTGGCTTCGGCTTCTTTGAAAGCGTGTTCAACCAGCTAAAGTAACGACGTCGGGCGCCCGTTGGCCTGGGAACAGTACCGGATATCTATTGCCAGGACCGTGGCAGGGACAACGAGGCTTGAAGACAAAATGTGCCAATGCTATGGCAACCAACATGGTAGCTCACAACGGAGGTGTTCGCAGCACGTCGAGCTTGTTCGCGCAAGAGAAATGTGGCACATGCTTCCAGCTTTAGTTCCTAACAAGCCATAGCTGTTTATTTAGGCTAGCAAATTTACATTTTCCATAAAGTGTTGGTGGCTACACTAACGGATGTTTGTCTTTAAGTTTTGTTGTCATACCGCCGATAGGTATTTTCTGCGGTTAGCGGACCGATGGGCACACAGCGTTGTCACTTTATCTGGTCGATCGCCTCTTGCAAAGGTAGGGTGCGTGCCTAGAATATACTTAAAAGATTATAAGCACGCACCCTACACTTGAAAGTTCGGGTCTGCGCGCTTTGACTAATGACGCAAGCTGCAGGTGGCCAATGTGGCCTGCGTTTCTCGTCAAAATTGACGCACCTAAAAAAAATTTTGAGGCTGGCTGGGCATTTTGGCGCACCTCAGTTTAACAATTGGGAATTGTATCAAATTGGCTCAATTGGTGCAGCTGTAGCACCCCTGGCCCTTCCTCCTTATTTTTTAGATGGAAACATGCGACTCGATCATTCTCCGGGTAATGCAACAGATGTTTCGGTGGATGGTGTCATGCATGCCAGGCTCTCTGGTATTGGCGATATATCAAAATAAAACTGCATGTTTCTGCAGGCCGAGTGCGTGGACTTTTATGTCCGACTCTGACAAGTCGTTTGATGAGCTTGACAGTGACGAGGGGGGAATAAAGTCAGCAAATAAATAAAGCAATTCAGTAAAAACATAGATGAGCATTATTTTATTTTAATTGGCTCTGTTGTTTGCGCAGTTAATTTCTAAAGAACATTCAGCCCTTATTTAAGGGGGGACGCGGCTTTGGTATCACGAAAAATGGTTAAAAAGCCGATTTCTTGAAAATCAAGTTTTTAGTTTCTGTAATCCTTTTTCTATCTGATTCCAAAACATCTACAGTGAAAACCGCGCAGAAGTGCTTCAGAAAATTCATTTCATCCTCCTAGGTAGCGAAACTTATTTCTGAAAATCGCGAGAAAGCAGCGATATTCAAAAAATTATAGCTTCGCGATGGCGCGGCCGGGAGCCAGCTTCATAGGCTCATCAGAAAAAGCATTTCTCGTGTTCAAATTTCCCGCCTCAGCTTGCTCCTCCCTTTAATAACAAGCGTAGAAAAAGCAAATGTATGAAAGTCGTTTCAAGGCCCTTGATTGGCTGTGGCCGCCATGTTGCCTCAACTCGCCTCGCCATTGGCTCGATGCTCCGGGAGATCGTCGTCTGCTGCTTGTGTGTGGCGAGGACAAGGCTCTCAAAAATTGCTACTTCGTGACGTGTTCACGGCTCGATGATCACTTAGGATATAATTACACTAGTTAGGAGCCATAAGAAAATATGCGATCAGGCTACTACGAGCGAGCGCGCGGTCAACGAGCCCGGCGCGCCATCGAAGTGGTCTTCAGCCCTAATTAGCTCCGTTGACAGTGAGACTGCGGGCAGGAATGACGCGCTAGCGCACTTGTAGCTATGGGCTTCTTTGCAAGCAATCAAGCACATCACTCCCTAGCTCTTCAGAACCGCGCACGAGCATTTTACCCATAGGCAGCGGACCACACAATCAAGCTCGTCACCCCCCCTCCCTCCACTGCCAAGGATTTCTCGGAACAGCGGCTAGCAGTTTCGTGCCTCATGACTCGAAAATGCGATACCAAGTGCAGTGCACGCCAATTTGTCATTGTAGCTACACATTTTGCGCATCGTCACCAAACGCCGCCGCCAAATGCATCATGCGCCGGCTGCACTGTCCACGTGGCCACGCACTCCATGGTCATATGAATATGGGATGCTGTCAATAAGCTTTTGTGATGCGGTTTGAATGAGAGTGTGCATGGCAGCAGCGCATCTCACACGTACCACAAGATGCTAAGCCCTTTCTGCTTTATCATTCAAGTGCTGGCTGCGTGGCTTTACCTGCAGCCGATGCCGACCACCTGCACAAGCTCATAATATACCGCCAACCAGGATTTCTGTGACGGCGTTAACGTTTCATAAGTTTCTTCACTTTTCGTGAAGTCATTCCATCAAACAAACCGGTGCCTCTAAAAAAAAAGAAGTGATAAAAAAATTCTGCGATTGTCATACCCAATAGTCTTCTTTTGAGTAAAGACCAACACCATTTGCAGCTTCCTGGCATGTTTTGTTACAGCGCTAGGCTTTCCACGAGCAGACCATATAAGTCGAACCACGTAGCATGACGTAACTTGAGAACTACTCAAGGTATCATGATGAAACTGCATATTTCCTTATTCAAGACACTTATGAGAATGCGTGCCAAATTTCATTGCTCTAGATCAACAAACAAAAAAAGTTTTTTCAACACCACCTCCCCCCTTAATCTTGCCAAGCTATGAAAGTTATGCACATGCACTCACTGTTTTTTTTCTCTATATGTGATTTCGTCATCACAGCTGTCGAAGTATGAACTAATCGAGTCACTTTTGCATGAACACACTGACCAGCTGTTTTCCACCACTCATGACATAAACTTACTTGCTCATTACCTGGAATGCTAATTTCACACTATTCAAACTTTCATGCACTAAAAGTGCAAACTATTTATAAACTATTACACATTAGAGGTCACCTCTTAACTGAACAAGCGGTGTTACAAAAGTTTATCTCATCCTTTCAGCTCTTTAGCTCTTATGTCATATCAACGAGCACGCTGAAAGCTACGTGGGGGGCGAAGACAACAAAGAGGGAAGAAAATGCAAAAGTGTGCACCCTGACCTCGTTGAAAACGGGTTGGAGAGCTTGCCTAGCATCATCAAAATGGGAGCAAGTATTCCCACTTACCAGTGGACCGAATGATAGCGACGGGCCGTGCCATTGGGGCTGGCGGAGGTGGTGGCAGCATGGAGCTCGAGTAGAACTGTGGGAGCTTGGAGGGACTGCCACGCACACCCGGATCCGGGCTAGCCTGCATGTGACAAAAAGTGTGCACACACAACATTTAGCAATGGTTAACAATGCTTAGCTAAGCAATAGCAGAACAAAGGGACACTGAAGAGAAAAAACATGACTTACACCTCTATCCTAGGGATCGGTATAAAAATAAAGTGAAATGGTCTTCACAGGGGTATTTGAGCACTTATTGTACATTGATATGTGAGAGCTTGTACAATGCCTAATGGTGTTTGGCACCACTTCACATGAATGCACCCACCTTGACGCCTATAGTGATACGTCTCCATCCCTGCCACGAATGTGTTGCGGTAGCTAAAGTTTATATATACCTGCGTTAACTTCAGGTACACATATCTTCAATGGGTCTGCATGAAAGACGTAATAACAACAACTGAACAGTTTGCGGGAGCATACACAGTTTGTCTGCTGTTGAGTGCGAGTGTTCTTATAACACAGGTGCTCAGTTTAGTAGCATCGACGATGCATGCAAGCACAGAAGTGGTGCTGTATCATGTTGGCACACCACCACCGCACACAGAAAAGTTCCCCGAGGTTTAAAGAGCATTTGATATGCACAGCTGGCATCCATAGCACGTGATGCAAGGCACGGGCCAAGACGGTGGAGGCTTTTGCGGGTGATTTACCGGAGGCGCGCAGGATTTGGTAGTTTCCTCAGAGGGGTGTATGATGTTAAGTCTGCTAATGGAGATATGAAAATCCCTCCTGCTGATTTTCCTGCTGATTTCAAGGGTGAATGTTTTGTTGTCACAGTGACAGAGTCCGGAGTAAGGTGGTTGAAACGGCGCATGTATGGTGTTGTCACGGAGAAAGGCATGTGAGCGATTTTCAAGTTCTTAAACACCAACAGGGTCAGTTTGGTGTGACATTCTGCTGGTGACAGGCACAGTGAGGCCACTGTGCAACGCAGCCAGGCTGCAAAGTCTGGTGATGTCGGGAGTTGAAGAGGAGAGCAGTTCCCCAGGTAGGCGAAGCGGCTCCCCGTAAATATTTCTGCGGGCGTTCCCTGGATGTCAGGTTTTAAAGTGGCGTGCAGACCAAGAGCAATGACTGGGACAGCCTTGAGCCAAGTTGAGTTAGGGTGGCAGATGATGGCTGCCTTGAGCTGTTAATAAAACCGCTCAATCATCACATTGGCGCAGGAGTTGTAGCTGGTAGTCCGTGAGCGCACGAACCCGGTGGAAAGCCTGAGGAGCCTCAAGAGTTGGGACTCGAATTGCTGTCCTCGATCAATTGTGACGAGGAGTGCCAAAGCGGCAAATCCGCCGGTGAAGAAGGTCGAGGCGGCGTCTTCTGCAGTAATCCTTTCAAGCGGCAATACTTTGGGCCATAGAGTGTAGCGATCAATGGCGGTGAGGCAGTAGCGGTAAGTCCCGATCAGTGGAAGGGGGCCAATGATGTTGATGTGTATGTGTTGAAATCATTCCACATCACTACTGGGGGGAATACCCCGAGTAGTGATGCGACATGCTGGGTGGTTTTGGCATGCTGACAAGGTACATGCACATGCGCACCCAGGTGGATCACTCCCGTTGCATAGAGGGCGAAGCATAGCGATCAGTGACAAGGTGTGTTGGAGTGCGTATGCTGGGTTTACTAAGGTTGTGTAAGTGGGTGAAAATGCTGTGGCAAAGGAACATATGGTCTCCCTCACCCAGTAGATATGTTGTAGTAGAGAGTGTCCGACTACCCAGGGATGGTGATGTGTTGAAGTTGAAGAGAGGAGCCATTTTCGAGGAGCTACAGGAGTTTAGCGTCCGTTTTTTTTTTAACGTTGGCGAAGGTGTCAGCCGTAACGGGAGGTAGCTCGACAAAAGAGATGAGCCAGAGTGCGTCGGCGACCACATTATCCTTTCTGATGATGTGTTGGATGTCGGTGGTAAAGTGGGCGATACAAGATGGTCGGTTTTGCTGTACTGGTGAAAGCTTTTCATGTCGTTGCGAAAAGGTGTAAGTGTTAGGTTTGTGGTCGGTGTAGATTGTGCAGTGCTGTGCCTTAAAAATATGGGGAAAGTGTTGGAATGCTTCATAGATAGAGAGAAGCTCTCTGTAATAGGCTGGTAATGTTGTCCCTGCAGGAGCCAGTTTCATCGATAATGGCTGTAGAAGAGGGTGTTTTTAGGCTAGAGAGTTTCTTCGAAAAACAAAATGCCAACGGGCACCAGATTTGGCCCACACGCTGCATCAGTGAGGCTCACACGGGAGTGTTAAAGGAATCTGTGAAAAGGCCCAATTAGCCTCTGGCTTGGAATTCGAAAGTAGAGTGGCATTGAAGAGGGCAGTTTCCAGTCTTCAAACGCTTGAGTTGAAAGTGGTGTTCACGTGACTGGATGATAAGCCAACCGATGCGTCGTGAAGAGGGGCCTGATATGCGATCACTTTAGGCACAATGCGGCTGTAAGAGTTGAGTATGCCCAGGAAACGGCTGAGGTTTTTCGCTGTAACAGGCCACGTGCAATTCTTAAGGGCCAAGATGCGGTCAGGCAAGGCTGCAGTCCCTTATGATGAAGTTTGATGGCCAAGATTTGTGATGACGGGGGCCCCAAGCATGCTTTTCTAGATAATATCAAGGCCAGCCGCGCATGCTCGTTTTGGCTTCTGCTAAAGATCGACGTTTGTTAAAATGGCTCCTGACTGCGGTGGCTGAATCTATGATTCAGAAATACAAATACACTAAGGGGGCAGAAGCCGTGGTGACAAGTTGAGGCCAGTGGTGGTTCCTTATCTACATAGGATCCCCCATCTGCTGAAGAAAGTCACCGGCAGACATGGTCTTCCAGTGGCATTGTCTGTGTCAAACAAGCTGTCGAAGCTGTGCTCCCGCACCTGCGGTGTGAGCTAAAGAGGATGCCAAATTTGACATGATGTCTCCTACGTCCCATTTGCAGTAGGCATGGTTTAATGCCGTCCCGCTCTCATGTGGTAAGACCTACGTCAGTCAAATGGGGAGATGCGTCAACAAGCAACTCAGGAAACACGCACAAAAAATGAACGAGAATGCGGATAATGAAGCCCATCTTGTGGCCCATATTAACTCTTGCAGCAAATGTGAAGCACTATTTGAACAGACATCGATCTTAGGCAGAAGCCAAAATGAGCACATGCGGCTGGTCTTGGAAGCTTTTCCCATTATCTAAAGAGATTTTCTGTGTATCAACGAAAGTTCTGTGTCACTGCATTAATCTGAATATCGTTTCTTGTCGTCGCATATCTGATCCACTTTTTTCGTCACTGTTTCACGTATCTAAACTTTTGTGGTGTACGCATGCGCGGTAAGGTTATAGCTATGCACGCAAATATCTATTGACGTATGAAGGAATAAAAAAGTTGATAGTCAGCGCTCGTGTATCTTCTTTTCTTTGTGGGGCGTGTTGTTTGTTTGCACTGGTAATTTTAAATCAGAGATATGTACCAACTAAGCCCAAATTAAGTTTTATTGTAGTAAATGACCTTTTTGCTATATTGAAAGTACCACTCTTACACCTTTTCATGAGTAATCTGAAAGAGAGAATGCAATATCAAATAGCTTGACTGCAAAGCGATTTTTTTTTTTGCCTGCAACACAAGATGGAATGGCTATTCTGAACAGGGGAGTGGTAAGATGGGGGGAAAAAGGCTGGAAGAAGGGAGGGAGAGAGAGTGATATAAGTGCAACAAAATGTAGCTGCTGCATATTCTCAAACCTCGATATAACGAACTCAGACATAATGAAACATCGGTTGTAATGAAGGAAATAAAAAACAGTATTGTAATATACGTATAGTTAGGATGATAGCTTAAGTATAACGAACTTTTGAATATAACAAACTTATTTTCATATAAGATGCACTTTATTATAATGAGGTTCAAGTGTATATATTATGGGGCAGAGTAGGGAGGCCCTGCTAAAGTCTATACTGAATTCCTGCAGGCCCCAGAAGCATGATAAATTTGACTGAAGCCTTAAGCTGGTATCCTTTAGAGTGCTGCATTGTAGCTTTTAGTTCTTGCAGTGAGCGACCATTTAGTGAGTGAGTGTTCAATAACTTTACGACCATTAACACTACAGCGCAGATGGGTACTGATAAAGGGTGTGAGTAGGTTAGAGACGTCATTAACTATTGCAATAAAGACAAAGCGAAGGAAGCAGGCAGAATGCGGCCTGCGGTCTTATTGTGGTCCCACAAGTTGTGCGGCTATTAGGGCTATAATTCAACAGTTCACAGGAGTGCACCTGTGTGCCGGAGTTGTGGGCTTCTTGGCAGACGAGGTTGACGAAGTCGGAGAAGGTGTCGCCATTTTCCTGGTACTTTCCTGCTGGGTGTAGGTAGTATGAAGGCCCACCTAGTGGAGGTCCTCCTAAGGGACTGCTCGCACCACTTGCTACTCCTAATAAAGTGACAGGAAAGAGAAAAAGAAAGGCCCCAATCAGTTGAACAGCCTATCCGGCAATAAAACTGCATGATGTAAGAAAAAGCAAATTACAGATGCTGCTTACACACAGTCACGATAAGACTTTAGAAAATAAGTCGCAATTTTATTCTCCATAATATTGTGTTTAACAAAAAAAACTAGCCCCGAAATTTACACTGTCCTTCATTCATAGCGAGGGTCTTGTTCTGGCAGAATTGATGCCTTGAGGTGGTATACCAGAGATTGTAGTTAAGCTGCCATCTTGTAATAAAATCACTTACTAGGCGATGCCAAACAGGCAAAAAAGAGTGTTCCAGACTCGCAATAATGGCAGCAGGTAGCGCTGACTGACACTCCCACGTTTGAATGCACATACAATAATGCCCATTAGGCGCTGTAGGCATCTGAATAAATAAATATATACCCTATAAAGCGGACAGAGGGAATGAATTCCACCGTTGAATCGGATGCGTTATTCGAAAGGCGCAGGTTCGGATCTTACCTGTTGCAAGTTATCTTTTAGTCCACTTTTCTGCATTTACATTACCACTACTTAAAATGACACTCTGCTGCACTTTCTCTGGTTTTATTTGTTGTCTGTTAATTCTCATTATTTTTAATTAGAATTCACAGTGAGGAGTACTACACAGGGTCCTTCTTCAGCCTGTACAAAAAGCATAGCAAGCATTGTGCTCTTGCAGGTGAGTTTGAGGAATATAATGTATATTGAGCTCTACTTACTTAAATCTAAATACTGAAGATAGTTTAATTACACCTCCACAAAACTATTGAGAGTTTGTAGATGGGCAAACTGAAACATAGCCACACTTCAGTAAGCCCACATTTTGTAAAAAACATTGAAATTCCACCTAATTCAACAGGTTAATTGTGATGAGAACTTGATGCAGCCAACATTGAAACCTAAATTCTAGGGGCACAGAAAAAGGCTGCCCAACTAGCGTATCAAAAATGCCTTGTGAGGAAAGGCCTTGGGACACTACACAACAAGAACTGAATATCACAGAAGGCATTAAAATGGCATGTTTTGTCTAACCATTTGCTAAACGGCACCATACCAGCATTTGCCCTGATGTGTCATCATACAAACTTTATCACGATACATTTTCAACAGTCCTAACATGCTACGACTGCAGTTATATTCACTGCCATTCTCAGTTTCAACTCGGCAGTAATGTTTGGTGCCAAATATCTTGGGGCAACTTTTCATGACTTTACCAGAGGTGCTTGGCCAGGCAAACAAAGGACACTTGAGGCCACATAATGATATAAGCTTTGTAAGGTACTTCTCACATAACTTAAGTTTTTACTGAAATGAAAGAATTGTGCCCCACAATTTTTTGCCAAAATATTTGCATAAAAGCAGACACGAAATGTCATAGCAGTAGCGACCTTAGAACACCATTTGAAAGACAGGTAGCACAAGATCCAAACACACACATTGCTTCTCCCATGCTGACATTGTGACAGGCAAAAGAACAGGGTGACCAGTGGGTTATCTGTTTTGTGAATGTAGTATCGAAAAATGTGTGTTTCAAACTTATTAACAGCCACCACCTTGCTAGGTGTACACGTACACATACAGATGTGTACACAACATAGTACAACACAAAGTTCCCGGGCCTGAGAGAATCACCGATGTGTCAAGTTTGCAGTAGAACAAGCACCTCACCTTAAAAGAACAACAGAAAGGAAAGACAGGATCAACTTGTGCAAAATACAAGTCTCTGTGAGAAGTGGAACCAGTCAGGAATGATGCGTGATGGAGACCATGCGGGGTAAACAGTTGCATCGTAAAAGGGATTCCATATTTCAGCATGCAGACGGCCAATACCACGCCACGTATAGCACCACCTTATCAAACGTGAGGACGTCTGAGAAAAAAAGAAAGGAAACAGCTCGTCTCTCAAGGGAAAAGGATGGAGGTAGACAAAATAAACTTTACTCGGCTGAGAATGACCAACATATCCCGACACCTATGGCAAGCAACAGGACGTGCAACGAGCTTTCGGGGGTCTTACCTCAAGTCTTCAAGCCTCTGAAACGCAATGCAAAGAGAAAGCAAATGAAAACCATCACAACTTTACTGATCCAGACTTCTGAAATGACAGTCTTGGTTTGTCCGTAAACTTCTTATGTTTTGCATAACTGCATACCTTAAATTTCTTACAGTTTACAGGTAATGTAAACTTCCCACAGTTTAGGAACCACCAGATGCCATAAACATTCTAGAATTTGCCATAGTAAAATCTGGTAGCGGTTTGTACAACTATGATAGACACAAAAACTTTTTTCAACCTTATCTGTATTCTCACTGTCAGAAGAAGCAAATGAATGTACTAGGATTTCACAATCATCTCCCTTCCAGTGCTATGCGACAGCAATTATACAAAAAGAGCAAGTTTTCTACACTAAAAACTAAAGGCTAAGAGTTGCAGCCCGAACTTGACACAAGAAGGAAGACAACACACGCAGTGCCACAATGACGTTTATTTTTCAAGACCAAGTATGTATTCCCCTATCTCAATAGCAAGGAAAGGTCACATGGTGATAACGACTGACATGTGCAAAGAAACAGCAATGTAAGAAGTGATAACCAGCAGGATGTCAGCATATTTACAGAAACCTTAAAGAGATACTGAACAAAAATTGAAAAAACTGACAGAACTTTGTAATTCTACTTGGAAGTTCCAATAAACAGGGTGAATTCCCCATATTTTTGAACAACTGGCGGCATTTTCGAAGAATTGTCAGCGCACGGCAGCATCACGCAAGAGGGAGCAGTGACGTCATATTCGTCGAAGCGCAGGCAGGGTGTAGGAGTGTCCGTCCTCCTCTTCTTTTTTTCCAACTCTTCTTCTATTCCACTCTCCCCATTCCACAAAAGTGCTGATGCTTTGCCTAAATCTGGAGCATTGTTCGCAACCCCTGCTGTTCATACTGGTTCTGGGAACCAAAAGGGAGATGTGTGTGTCGAGAGACGCAATCAACGGCTGGGATCGTTGGCTTGCCCGTTTTGGGTGGGTTTGAAGTCACCAAACGTCACCTCCTGTAGTTCACGATGTGGCCGCTAAATGTGGCAGTTTGTGAAAAATGCATTAAATTCATTATTTCCCTGTAGTTGCTGCTTGAAATGAAGGTTGCCTCTATCTATTTCAGGACCCTATCTTTCAATTTGGTTGAAAATCTTGGCGGCAAAAATTTTGTGCAGAATCCCCTTAACTCATTTGATGACAATGACACAGATGAATACTGATTGTTGGCCTAGTTGGTACTTGCTTACTGACATGATTTGGCCGCAAATAATAAACACAAAGTAAAGAAACACTCAACGATGTGCCGCTTGTGCTTGTCGTTGAGTGTTTCTTTACTCTGTGTGTATCATTTGCGGCCAAATCATGTCAGTAAGACACAGATGAGTTGCTTACACAGATATTCCCAAGAGTGTCGATGTGCTCAGCTTCTATGATGAGGCGGATGATGTCGTTTTTGTGACGACTCAAAACGACAGTGCAAACTTTGGCCGACAACCACACGACTGAGTGTGGAGAGTGAGGTGACAGCTTCTCAGACTTGTTTTTGTGCTCTCTTAGCAGCGCATTTACACACCTGCTTATCTGTGCGACGTAGCATTTCCCACAGGACAGTGGACTACTGCAGAAGAAGAATGCCACACACTGCTTTTTCTATTTTAGAAGGACTCGTTTTCAAACAGAGGCTCTCTAACTTGTGGGAGACAGAAAGCCATCCTTATATTTTACCGTAGGGCCAATTCCTTGACATTATGAAACAATTCATAAATATATGGAGTTACGGCTATGTTCATGTACTCAGGAGTAACGAAGTCTCGAGGATCACTCGAACGTGCGCGAAGTATCTTGATATTCTTTTCTACTAAAGAGATTAATATGTGATCAGGATAATCGGCTTATTTTATGAGTAATCTTTGTTGCATGAAACTCATCAAGCTTTCATGACTTACCAAAAAGCCCCCTTCGCAACTCTTGTTAAACGAGAATCCTGGCGAGAGAGTTACTTGTGCTTATAGTTTTATCCAGAAAGACAAATATCTATTAATCATGTTTACTTTTAAATATGTAAGCTGCTACAATTTGAGATCCTTGTGTTTCTGGTTAAGCTCTCCACTATCAGATGTCACTGTCAACGTTTTTGATACCATACACTTATCCAGTAGGCGGGTACAATGAAACTTCGATTATACGTACCCTGGTTTCACCGCGAAATAGTTTAGTCCCAGCGAAATTTTCATAGAAATACATTTGAACCCATTTATAAGAGGCATGCTCCAGGAAGAAATTCCCGCCTTTTATACGACATGAATATTATAAGCAGGGTACATCATATGCACTTTCTTATGCATTTTCATATGCATTTTCTGGTGTCTCTTATACCAATTTGTCTCTGATATCAGTGCTTCTTATAAGGGGTTCGACTGTAATGTATTAAAACCTTGGTTATACGACAAAGTTGTTTCAAGCCAACCCAGCATCTTATGATGACTTTCAAATTCCACCCGGAAAAAAAAAGACACCTTTACTCGTACCAAACGCCGACAAAATATTCACGAGTGCAGAATATGAACTTGCATTCCTCCACATACGCCTTAATCACATGTATATGTATTCAAGATCATTACCTAGCCAAGCTTTATCCACTCGGAGTAGCTTCAGCCAACCGAAAAGCTGATGTTTTCACGGTTTCGGTTCGTCGAAACTTCCTTGTTGACATACAGCTGATCTCCTGCCTTTGTCGAACTCGCAGTCACAGGCTTGCGCATGCATAAGGGCGTGACGCAGCTGTTTTAGCCTTGCAAAATTACTTTCACTGGACCTCAACATTGATAAACACGAGAGGGGCACCACTTCATATGGCTACAATTAACAGCCCGCACGGCTCAGTCGTGCACGAAGGCATTCTATGCAAACTTGTGCTCCGTC